GGTTTTTGGGGGGGGGGGGGGGGGTGTTCGACTGTTCCAGATACCGTCTGCATTCCCCTCTACAGGGTGTTCCATAATTATTTTAACGCCTGAAAAGAGGAGATTCCTGAGGTCATTTGAAGTAACTTTTTCCTTAGCGAAAATGCAATCCGCGGCTTTGTTTACGAGTTATTAATGAAAAACACTGACCAATGAGTGGCGAGCTCGCCTAGCGCTAGACAGCCGAGCGGAACTGGGCTTCGCGCCAGCTGAGCTCGGCTCCTATTGGCCAGTATTTTTCGCTAATAACTCATAAACAAAGAAGCGGATTGCATTTTCGCTAAGGAAAAAGTTACTTCAAATAACCTCAGGAATCACCCCTTTTCGGGTATTAAAGTGCATAAAGATGGAATTAAAAATAATATTCTTCTAAGATTATTTATTTTAGAGGTAGATATTATTAGAATATCTATATAGAGTGCGCAAAAATTCGCAGTGCACAAGAGGTCAAGAAAATGGCACGGCTCAAAATAACGCGAAAATCAAGAATAAATATCATTTTCGAGATCCTTCCTTTTAGATTGTTTCCACGTTTTTTGAGAAGAAACGATATTTCATTTTTAATAAATCGCGCGACCAACATTCATTTTACAATCAACAGACATGAAACAGAAACTATTTCGTGCACGTGACGATTGGCACATGTTGGACGCATTTAGCTTTGCTGTGTTTAGTTACGACTTGAGGTCGCATAAAACTTTGCACAGGGGCGACCTGATGAAGATGGTACTACAGTGGGTTGAAAAAGTCTTTGTACATTCTGGTTATTGGAGATGCACACCTTAATATTTCAGGGCTTTCACTTTGTTCTCTTTTTAGAGCCTACGCAAAGAAAGTTTTGCTCTTAATGTATTCTGTTTAAAATCAAATTATTTTGAGACCATGTGGAATAAATTACAGATGAGAACGTATTCGAGTAAAAAATGCGACAGAGACTACGCTACATTTGCATATTCAGTATGGATTACATTGGTTTGTTTTTTATTTTCTAAGTTAAGTATAATATTACGTAAATTATATCTTTTAAGATAGGAGAAGATGTAAAAACTCGCTGTAATATTTGACTAGCCACTTGATGATTCTTATTGAAAGACACTTGCACATTTTCGACCAATTTACCGTATTTTTAATCAACCTTGCTCTTTGAGGATCGCACGATTTACTTACCTAATTGCATTTATATATTGATCCTTTTATGATTAGAGCGCTGAAGTTCATGCATAAGCAAATTGCATATTTCTAGTCCAAAATTTTACCTTACATTATAATTTACTCTATAATGAAGATAATCTATTAAATATATAAATTACACATTATTTTGTTTTCCTCGCTAAAACATGTATTTACAATATTGTGCGTATGCATATATTTCGCATATTTGTTTCATATTAAATTTGTGTAATTTTCCATAACCTACATTTGATAATGATGAGAATTAAAGAAGCTGATCAGTCATAATGATCAGTTTTAATTTAATATATTGTAACAGTAAATTCCCTGGCTGGTGTGTTCCGTGGCTTTCGGTCACTGATGACGTAAATGAAGTGCTAAAGATCCACGTCATCTACTAAACTTAATATATCTGGAAACATGAAGATCTTTTTAATATTCTATGATTATTAATTGATTTATTAGTACACTGTGAACATTTTCGCAACAACGTTTGTATCACGCGAGCAGAATGAGCTATTAGGTCGATAAGAAATTAACGTCGATTGTCGAGTCTTATCTTAAAAACAACATGCAGACAGGGTAAAAAGTAGTCGTACACTGAATTTCAGATTTTCGACGAATTGTCGCTATTTGAATTGTTATAATTTCGTAAAATCGAGTCATACCATAATAGATCCGGACTTATTTTAAAGCTTGAAACCTCTACCTTCGCAATTCATCGATCAGTTCTTCCTATCATGCTCTTAGAAATCATGTAGAAAACTGAAGACTCAGCTTTACTCGAAAATGTTACAAATGGAAGCGTTTCCAGAACCATTGAAAAATTGTTCTCACGAATAAACCCTCGGATTTGGAGACTGAAGCTTCCCCTTTACCATGTCCTTTCGAAACTTGGCGTACGACATTTTTTTAATAATTTTATGAAACAAAAACGAGAAACAAGTTCGGTCGTGTAGAGCCCTCGTGAATCTTGTGTTACTGTAAAGCAGGCAGTTCGCCTTTCATTCGAAGCTCAATAAAGTGACTAAAAAAAAAAAAATGATACATCGAACTTTGAGCGGTCAACGTAAAGGGGAGGCTCCAGTCTTGAAATCTATGTTAGAATCAGTCGTGAAAAAACTTTTCGAGCATATTTACAAACGTCCCAATCCGTAATATTTTTCGGACAGAAAAATGTTTCCCATCTGTTGCATTTCATATACGAAAACATATTACAGGAAAATGATAGATCCATGGCATAAGTAGAAGGTTCAAAACTTTGAAATGAGTCCAGGTATATTCCTATACGACATGCTTTTACGAAATTATAACAGTTCATGCAACGACAATTCGCTAAAAATCTGAAATACAGTGTACGAATATTATTTACACTGACTGTATTTAGGATTAGACCAATCTTTCTAGGATTATGTTCCAGTGTAGTTGGATAACAAAGAAATGCTTACCAACACGTAGATCAGCACCAGCCATTTAAAATGATATATGTCAATATAACATGTACATACAACAGAAACAAATTAAATGAACTATAATAGCAAAAATCGTCTATTAATTTTGATGCAAATAATTCAGCTGCACATACTCAGCTATTCGATGCCAATCTGAAGTAAGGGTCTGGAATAAATTAGTTTGTACATCATACTACGCCGGTAATACTCGTAATGACGTCCCCTTTGCTTCAGATCATATATTGAAAGATCCAGCGGAACAGCCACCTTTAACGTTCTATTACGAAACTGTGCTATAAACGCTTATTCTTAAAAATTACATCGGCTTTTCACGCAATATTTGCAATCTGTATGCGTCAAAATGATCTGCCAAGATTGTAAAGCCATGCTACAGAATATCCCAAAAATGTCTTGCAATCCGGAAATGAAAGGTTCCTGAGGTCATTTGAAGTAGCTTTTTCCTTAACGAAAATGCAATCTCCGGCTTCGTTTACGAGTTATTAACGAAAAACACTGACCAATGAGAGGTGAGCTCGACTGGCGCGAGGCGGCCCAGCGAACGAGCCTACGAAGCCTGGTTCCGCTCATTGACTCGGCCGTCTCACGCCAGCTGATCTCGCGTCTCATTGGTCACAGTATTTCGTTAATAACTCGTAAACAAAGCCGCGGATTGCATTTTCGCTAAGGAAAAAGTTACTTCAAATGACCTCAGGAACCCCTCATTTCCAGATTGCGAGACATTTTTGGGACATCCTGTATAGCGAAATTGTGCTAGAAACGCTTATTAAAAATTGTATCGATTTCTCACGCAATATCTGCAACCTGTATGCAGACCAAAATGATCTGCCGAGATTGTAAAGCCATACCACATATATTGTTAACTCAGTTTTCGAATTGTTCGAAAGAGCAACCTAGTTAGCATCCACTTTCCTGACCGGCGACCATGTCCGTCAAGCGTTATAGATCGAGGGATCAAGTTGGATCGGCACATCGGCGGGCACCTTCGAGATATTTTGTTGCGAAGAACGGAGAACAACGCAAGGCGAAAGGATGAGGGTACGGTGGTGAAGAGAAAGGGAGGATGGGCGCGAGATGTGGAACGCAGGCGCGCTCGAAGGATCGTGCGCGAGCGGAGGCCGTATCTATGATGCTTTGAAGACCTCCGGCGGGAGCCACGATTCTTCCTTTCAGTTTATCGTGGCCCCGCTTACGAATATTCTCGCTGCCAGGAATCTGGGCTGATCTCTCGATCTTCGTTACGAACTGTCGCGAACGTCGAAATGACATAGCGAGACGATTTTCTCTTGAGAATCCACGAATTTCACGCGAGACAGAAAACAACGGAATTATATGCGACGCAAACAAGCAAGATAAGATACTTAACGACGGTGGTGATGTTTCGATGTCTCGGGCTACTAAACGGCAACATGTTCGTGGCATAATATGCTCGGTAACCATTCTCGATATTTGTCGGCGAATAGCCAATTATTCTTACCGTCGGAGGAAGTAAATATTTGGTTTGTCTAACGCGTGAATCGTAGCTATAGCTTTGTGATGCTGTTTTAACCAATCTTCGCGGAACGGATACGATATATAAACGATGTGTGGGTGAACATAACACGTGTAAAGCATTCGGGCAACGGTAAATACCTGTTTAGTGGATATTTGCGCAAGGTTGCCACTTATAAATACCTGAATTTTGAAATTTCGCGTGGCTCACGTTGCCGTTTCATATCAGTACCGAGAGAAGTTTCGTCTGTTGCGCATCCAGTGCGACATTTCCCTGTTCAAATGTCGCATGCACGAAGTAGGGAATGCAAATATAAAATGGTTATTTTGTAATACTTCAACGCGGGGGGACGCGTCATTCACGCGCGACGCATTAATTTCCGTGAAATTTTTTGCAAATTCCGCGTCGCTTCGCTGTCGGATAAATAGCAGAAAATTGTTTCCACGTCGATGACGCGTGTATCTGTACTTTCTGCATTATCGTTACCGTTCGTTGGCCCTGCTACTGACAGCGTCAGCCTGCATCGTGCACGAGAACGGGCGCGTAAGGGAAAAAATATGGATCGACGTGTCAAGGGCCTGTTCCCTTTTATCACCGAAACGTTCATCTCGTTAACGGTCGCTATCCTGTAGATCGATCCGGTGTTCCGTCCATTCTATTAACTCAAACCGTCCGTGATTAATTATAAGCTAATCAACGGCTCTAACGTGAGAACGCGTCAGTCTCTACTTAATCTGGTAATCGAGTTTACATTGTGATGCAAATCGGAGCCCATTGGCCATTTTGTCGGTATTTCGTATACGTGTTGACAATATTTTCGACAGTCGTATGCGGATTGATAACGCGGAATAGTTGATCATCCGCGAGTTATCAACAGTGGTATCCCGTTTAATTTGAAGTGTATCGAAACACTATTGGCGCACTCAATAGGAACGCTTCCTAAACGTGACAATCTGATTTTGATGAGAATGTAATGTGTAGTTTGTTGGAAAATATTTGACACGTATTTTTTTTTTATTTGGGATGATTTATATCTAGTGGTTGATGGAAAGTCTGGGGTAAAACAAATTTTGAGATAGCTCGGAAATTAGAAGTTCTAGGACAATATAATTCTTTTCTAGGCGGTGTGTGTTTCGAGCAGAAATTTAATTAGATAAGATAATTTTTTAAGAAGCCATTTGTTTAGACAATGAACACTCTTTTTGTAATTTTCTCGTTGTCTGAACTCCTATAGGTAGATTATCGATGAAAATATAAACAAAATATACGATACTATTTTTCGGATTCCGGAACTTTTTATTCTTCCAAATAAACGAGAGATATTATGACAATTAAAGTGCCATTTAAATCGGTGCGTTTCATTTAAGCGATCTATTTTATCAATGTTTGTGCAATAATATTACAAAAGCAGCATACAGTTTATATATCCGCTATTAATTTGATGAAAGCATTTAATACAATCTTTAAAATAACCTCAACATCGAATGTCCTTTTAAAGCTAAAAATTCAGCTAGATAATGGTTGAATTCATTAACCCAACCGACATTTCAATACATTCTACACTTATCTTAAATCTAAGAAGTTCCATACAGGTTTCGAAAATATTTTTGTTACTTTCGGAACGCAAATAACAATTTAATAAAACATAATATACGAAACTTAAATCTAACAAATGCTGCATTAGCTTCGAAAATGTTTCTGCCGTTTTAGAAACGTTAATGATTTATCCTGACAATATAATGTACATAAATCAAATGTAAAAGACGCTGTATAAGTTTCCGAAACGTTTTCGCCACTTTAGAATGCCAATGATTTACATTACATTTTTTAATGTAGGTACAGAGAACGTAAGCCTTGCGATGGCAGAAATGTTGACAGACCGCTGAATTTGTACAGTATCGGTACGTTTAGAAACCTCGTCGGAAGAGAATAAATTTAAAAAATCCGTTTTCCATTGTCAGAATTTTGAAGAAGTCTCGAATTTTGTTTCACTTTCGAGTTATCGAATTTCCCTTGTAAATTACATCAAAGCGTCAGCTCAGTAACTGACATAACTTGTATCATTAAACTCGAACGTACCAAGTTTTTCGGTCTATTGCGAACGCGTCAGTGATTAGCGGATCGATTGGAGTTGTAACTCAACGACAAGAAAAATGAAGATTCGATTACGGTGATTCCGTCGAAATGTATTTCACCGCCGATCCCGCTTGCCCGTGTATTCGTAATCGGATTTGTTCGGCCGAGAACGAATGAAAGAATCGCCGGCGGCGCGAGCTTTTTGCCCCGTCCAGGACCGAAAACGACAAACATAAGCCGCAACGGCCGAACCATTCTCCCCCGAGTAACAATCACGCAATTGATTACGGCCGCCCACGACGATTGATCCAAGACAGAACCGGAAGGTGGTGTTTTCCATGCCCGTTGGCGACGAAAGTCGCTTCCGTCCCTCCGACGCGCGCGATATCATCCGGCGGGGCTCCGCGTTCCTGGCGAAAGGATGTCGGTCAGTTTGGACAACACAACGATGATGTCGACAACCACGGTAGAGTACAACGACACGGACAACGGCGCAGACAACAGCACAGACAACGGCACAATACCGTTGCCAGATTTATACTCGATACTATGGTACATCTACGACAATCTCCACGGCAAACCCAATTATTTGTTGATCGTGCTCTACGTGCACGTGATGGTTATCGCCGTCACGGCCAATGTCCTCGTCATCGCGGTCGTTTTCAAGTACCACTGCATGAGAAGGTATGTACACACAGTTTTACGACAGCCGACGGAACGGCGAGTCGATTTCCATTGGAGATCGAGGAGTTTGCTGCTCTAAAAACCTTCTTTTAGTGTCATTCCCAACAGGAATAATTTAGCGTGGAACTGTTGAGGATAAATTAACGTACGATGTTAGGAAACCAGCAGTCATAGCGATTTGTCTTTGACCAGTTAGCTGTGTTTGACGAGTATATTCGTCATGGAGAAGTGGCAGTATTTTGTTTCCTGGCGAGTATACTCGTCGCGCGTAAAAAGTAGTGACCATTGGATTATTTAAATTGTAATAATAGCGAAAATAAAAACATATTCTCAAATATTAAGATATGTAGAATATTTTGAGGCCAATCCTACACGAAGGTGTTTACATTGTTATAAAAATAAGATTAGAAAAGTATCACGACATTGGTGTTCGACTGCAGCAGCAATTTAAATTTTTAACATTTATAAGTATTTGATTCTTTCTGCGTTTTTCGTTTGTTATGTATGTAGTATATGTTAATGTTAAGCGAATAAGTAAATATTAGTAATAAAATTGTTAATTTTATAAAATAAAACCGTCTTTTTGATCCGATATTGTAACAGCGACACTTACTCTGTGTTTGACGAGTATACTCGTCATCGCTTGATTCTCGCGACACATACAGGTGCGCGATCTGATAAGGAGGTGCCACAGCTAACTGGTTAAAGTCGCGTCTGTCTCTGAAATATTAATATTGAATGTCGGAATAATACGACTCCGAAAATGAATTCTTCTGCGGAGAAGAGGAAGGCCTTTTCACGGTTAAATGAAATCTTGTAAAGCATTCGTTAAAGTCATTCATTGTGCAGTGACAATTTTAGTAGGTACTGCTTCTAAGTGGATGACACGAATGNGTTAATGTTAAGCGAATAAGTAAATATTAGTAATAAAATTGTTAATTTTATAAAATAAAACCGTCTTTTTGATCCGATATTGTAACAGCGACACTTACTCTGTGTTTGACGAGTATACTCGTCAAACACAGAGTAAGTGCTGTCTCTTATACACATCTAGATGTGTATAAGAGACAGGTACAACGACACGGACAACGGCGCAGACAACAGCCTGTCTCTTATACACATCTAGATGTGTATAAGAGACAGGTACAACGACACGGACAACGGCGCAGACAACAGCCTGTCTCTTATACACATCTAGATGTGTATAAGAGACAGGTACAACGACACGGACAACGGCGCAGACAACAGCCTGTCTCTTATACACATCTAGATGTGTATAAGAGACAGGTACAACGACACGGACAACGGCGCAGACAACAGCCTGTCTCTTATACACATCTAGATGTGTATAAGAGACAGGTACAACGACACGGACAACGGCGCAGACAACAGCCTGTCTCTTATACACATCTAGATGTGTATAAGAGACAGGTACAACGACACGGACAACGGCGCAGACAACAGCCTGTCTCTTATACACATCTAGATGTGTATAAGAGACAGGTACAACGACACGGACAACGGCGCAGACAACAGCCTGTCTCTTATACACATCTAGATGTGTATAAGAGACAGGTACAACGACACGGACAACGGCGCAGACAACAGCCTGTCTCTTATACACATCTAGATGTGTATAAGAGACAGGTACAACGACACGGACAACGGCGCAGACAACAGCCTGTCTCTTATACACATCTAGATGTGTATAAGAGACAGGTACAACGACACGGACAACGGCGCAGACAACAGCCTGTCTCTTATACACATCTAGATGTGTATAAGAGACAGGTACAACGACACGGACAACGGCGCAGACAACAGCCTGTCTCTTATACACATCTAGATGTGTATAAGAGACAGGTACAACGACACGGACAACGGCGCAGACAACAGCCTGTCTCTTATACACATCTAGATGTGTATAAGAGACAGGTACAACGACACGGACAACGGCGCAGACAACAGCCTGTCTCTTATACACATCTAGATGTGTATAAGAGACAGGTACAACGACACGGACAACGGCGCAGACAACAGCCTGTCTCTTATACACATCTAGATGTGTATAAGAGACAGGTACAACGACACGGACAACGGCGCAGACAACAGCCTGTCTCTTATACACATCTAGATGTGTATAAGAGACAGGTACAACGACACGGACAACGGCGCAGACAACAGCCTGTCTCTTATACACATCTAGATGTGTATAAGAGACAGGTGTATGAGTGATAGAGAGGAGTACAGTAAATTCTCTTGTCGTTCAGCTTATAAACGACAATGGACAATTTGCGAAGGGGAGATACGATTATTCGAGCCTCGCGGCTCGGTTTTATGGTTCTTGACAATCGGTGGCTATAAAAACAAGCCGCGAGGTGCGAATAATCGTATCTCCTCTTCCCAAATTGTCCATTTTTGTTTACAAGCTGAGCGACAATTGGAGAGAATTTACTGTACTTTTAATGCAACGAACAGATTTGTACCAAAACTTAAAATCATAATTTTTGTTGACTACTTTCATAATGCTCACACCTTGCAATTCGATTTGGGGGGTAGAAAACAACACGTTGCTATAAGAAAACGATATTTGTCACTGGATGTTGCAAATAGTAAATGATAACTATATTGTGCACTTTAAGCGCAACTTAAAACAATATAATAATGGAAATAATTGAAAAATATCGATATGCTATTTTCAAACTGTTAAACTTATTGACATGTCAACTGTCGAGTCTCCAATATTACATGGGTGATGCAATTATTGGCCCAGATTTAAAAATAAATGTTTGCATCGATGCAATCAATGCGTCAAAGTTTAGGATCCGAGTAATTCTCGATAGCAATTTCATTAACCTAATTATTTTTCATTTTACGGAGCCTTTGAATTGTTAAAGCAATAACTAATTATTATCCACAGCTTCGTCTTTTACAGAAAGTTTCGCACTCCAATAATAACAAATTAATTCGCGAGACACGATTTCTGTGACGATTTCATATTTGCAACTTAGCTCCAAATTCGATTGATCCACTCCTTCATTAAACCATCAAAACAATCAGAAGTATTTCAATTGTTACACTGATCGATTCCTGGACTATCCCGTATATGTATGTATGTACTTCTGTATCTCTGGACTCTGTACACAGTGTACTTGCACATGCGTTCCCGAGAACGTCTAGCAGATCAACGCCGCGCCGCGCCGCCTCGTGCAATTGATAAAGCGCGGATTAACTTGGAAGTAATTTAAACTTGAGTCCACCGACGATGCTTCTCGAGACGGATCAAGAGAGATTTGGCCGAATTACGCGGCGACGAGACGATTGAAACCGTATCGGGTGTATAGGCTGTTGATTAAGGAAGCCGCCGCGCCGCTTGTGTCGGAACAGTCGGCTTACCATCAGGATATTGCTTCCGGAACAATAAGATCGTCTCCAATCGAGTTAACACGTTGAGCGCGGGACTGATTTTCCTGGATTTTCCGTTGAGCCGGCAAGCCGGCGTTACATTTTAAGAATTGACGCCGCCCCAAAAACAGTACACTAGTCGATCCAGATGAACTGACACCGGCCAGAGGGAAAGTTCACTGTCAGCCCCCTTGAGGCTGACGTCGCGCTTAGCGTGTTAATTGTAGCTGCGAGCAAGACTCTTTACGAGGACAAACCAAATTAATCTCGTTGGACCAAGTGTGTCGCCGAGCCATTACCTACACACGCGACCATTCTTCGAATTTTCAATAGAAAATCGATGAGCGCCGACGCGACATCCATCGAGGACCGCTCGATCTCGGAAAGTTAAACGTTAAGGACGCCCTTGCGCGGATTTGATCCTCCATTGTCATTCGTTTGCTATTCGTCGCGACGAGCATTCCGCACGATTCTTTCGCGTCGCACGTTCCCTCGACCCAGTTCCGCGAAAGAAGTTCTAGTAGGAGGCGGGAAGGATCGTTTCAGAGGAACGTTTAATCAGGATGCTCGGATCGCTGATTAATCGTAGACGCAGACCCGCAATCGAAGATCTGGCCAGATGGTAATAACACGCGGGCGTATCACGTGGGCTCGCAATTGCGAACGCACGCACGGATCTTCGTGTAAACAATGGGCCGCGAATTGGATTCGCGAATAGAAAGTACCAGTTCAAATATAGAAGGGTTACGTGGCGATATCGTTCGTAAATAAATGAAACCGCCGGTCGATCGCGAACGCGTTAGGGAAGCGAATGAAATAAATGGTCTAGAGTGTTCCTCGCCGGATTCTATCGCGTCGCGGCCATGATCGTCGCGACAAGGAAAGGAATCCGCCTTGAATGTTCTCGGACTCTGGATTGAGAAATGCATAGGCATGTGCTTATTTCCGATATGTGCGAAACGTCGTGCAAATAAACGATCTGCTCGAATTCGCGATGCGCGTCGGGACGTGTTGACCCGCCGCGTCGACGTTTATTTCTGAAGTCGAAATTATTGTTTCACCCCCCCCCCCCTCAATCCGAGAAATTTAGGCTACGGACACTAGCCTGTGTTTTTTAAGTATATTATAGTAGTCAACCGCGACAATAGCTGCGAGATACTTCTACAAAGCAATGAGACTGAATCCGTAGTCCGACAATTAGCTGTATTGTAACTAAGAAACCGATAGCAACTTCAACGAATGTACGTGGACTGCATGTTCAGTCGAAACATTAAGACGACGAAGCTAAGATGTTGGATTCGACAATAAATTCGGTACGGGTGTGCAGCAAGCAATAAAAAATATCGAGGACACTACGCGGTCAAACTCTGCATTAAACTTTGCAAACATGCAACGTAAACTTATGAAAAGTTAAAATCTATCAATGGAGAGTCCTTCGGAGTACAGTAAATTCTCCCTAATTGACGTTCGGACTGTACAAACAAATGAACAATTTGGGAAGAGGAGATACGGTTATTCGAGCTTCGCGGGTCGTTTTCATAGCTGCCGATTGTCAAGAACTATAAAAACGAACCGCGAGGCTCGAATAATCGTATCTCCTCTTTACAAACTGAGCGGCAAGAGAATTTACTGTACTCCTCTCTATCACTCATACACTTACACCAATATAGTTTTCAGTTTTTAAAACGATGCTGCAGATCTCTGTTTGAAATGTTTTTTATACTAAAGGGTGTTCCCTCGTCGCTTCCTATTGCAGCATCGTTGTTTCTCTAATTATCGAAGAGGACAAAAAGAAGCAGAGCGACAATACTTCTTATGTTTCAAGTAAGAAACTTGATGTTAATTTTTTGTACTTTCGAAGAATCGCGAGACCCTCTGCGTCATTCGTGTCATCCACTTAGAAGCAGTACCTACTAAAATTGTCACTGCACAATGAATGACTTTAACGAATGCTTTACAAGATTTCATTTAACCGTGAAAAGGCCTTCCTCTTCTCCGCAGAAGAATTCATTTTCGGAGTCGTATTATTCCGACATTCAATATTAATATTTCAGAGACAGACGCGACTTTAACCAGTTAGCTGTGGCACCTCCTTATCAGATCGCGCACCTGTATGTGTCGCGAGAATCAAGCGATGACGAGTATACTCTTCAAACACAGAGTAAGTGTCGCTGTTACAATATTGGATCAAAAAGACGGTTTTATTTTATAAAATTAACAATTTTGTTACTAATATTTACTTATTCGCTTAACATTAACATATGGACCGTTTATTTTGAAAGTGGTGTAAGTCCATTTTTGAGAAAAATGAGATATCACGTAATTCATGCTTAATTTAATGTAAATTTTTTATATATAACTGGTCCGTGTTTAATTTCTCAAAAAAATCCCATGTTTTGTACAACTTAAAATTGGTCGGTAAATGAAATTGCATAATCATCGATTATGAAAGTGGTGTAAGTCCAATTGACAGAGGTAGGTGGCATAGCAGATGGTTACCGATCAGTAATCTGTTATTTTTTCTTTGTTTTATAATAAGTGTGATATTACGGGTCAAGAGTTGCTAATTTAGGTTAATTATTCAATTTTTTTCTTAAAATGGATAACTTCATATTAACATCAGATAGTGATATAGGTAAGAACAAATGATAAACCAATATTATTTTATAACAATTGAAAATATTTATTTTATTTAATTATAAATAAATTCACACAGACATAAAGCCCGTGAATAGAAACAGAAGAATAATCTTAGATTCAGAGGATGAAAATAATTCCACTAGGAACAACAAATTAACAAATCGTAAAAAGAGAAGAAGAATAATAGAGGTAGAATTTTCATCAGATGAGGATATTGTTATTGAGAACTTGGATTCTGCAGAACAAAATAAATAAAAATATTTGCAGCAAATAAACAAAATTAAGCGAAATAATGGACAAAAGTACTATACAAAAAGAGGAAAAGTCATTCCTGCAAAACAATTTGAATCCAAAAATTGTAATTGCTCGAAGAAATGCATAGAACGTATTAATGAAGCACAACGAATAGAAATTTTTGATAAGTTCTGGAATATAGGTGATTTTAATAAGCAAAATGTATTTTTATATGGTAGTGTTCAACGAGAACTTGTCAATAGAAGACGGCCTAGAAATAATTCGGGCACTAAAAGAGCATATGCTTATAAATTTTACCTAGTCACTTCTGGTGGAAACATTTTAGAATGTAAGAAGTTTTTCATTAATACTTTCCAAATATCTACTGGACGAATTGATTGTATCCTAAAATCGCATGAGAACATTCCGAAAGACATGTGTGGAGAAATGGATGGCTCTTGCAGAAGAACTAGTGAGCTACTGACGAATACAGTGATAGACCACATAAAAGCTTTCCAGCATTTGAAAGTCACTATACTCGATCACAAAATCCAGAATGAATGTTTTTAAATCCGGAATTAAATATAAGAAAAATGTACAATTTATACTTGGAAAAATGCAAGGAAAACAACTTGAGCTCAGTTAATGAATGGACGTACAGGAAAATCTTTAAACGAGATTTTAAGTTACGCTTCCATTTGCCACGTAAAGATACCTGTGCGAAATGCGATTTCTTAAACATGAAAATTAAGACAATAACTGATGACGAAGAAAAAATTATTCATGTAGAAAGACATGATGTTCACTTGCAAAATGCTGAATTATCAAGAAAAGCATTACAAGAAGATAAAATTCTAGCATCAGAAAATCCTGATAAATACTTTGCCTTCACTTTTGATTTACAAAAAGCCTTACCTTACCCGAAATTGTCTGTCTCAATCGCATATTACAAGCGAAATATGTACGTCTTAAACGAGGGTTTTCACAATTTCCACGATAATAAAGTTAATATGTATGTGTGGGACGAAACCATTGCTTCTAGGGGATCGCAAGAGGTGGCTTCTTGCTGTTTGAAGCATTTAGAAAATGTAACGACCCAAAGCCATGTTATTGCCTACAGTGACATATGTACTGGGCAAAATCGAAATTTACAAATGGCATTGATGTGGTTGAAGGTTGTCCAGTCGGAAAATAACATTGAGATAATTGATCACAAATTTTTACTCTCGGGGCATTCATACCTTCCGAACGATGCAGATTTTGGCATCATAGAAATGGCATTGCGGAAAAAGAATTTTGTGTACACACCACAGGATTACTATAACGTAATAGCGCAATGTAGAAAACATGATAAATTCATTTTACATGAAATGAAACGGGGGTATTTCATTTCAACAAAAAATCTCCAAAATGCGATTAAAAAGCAGATAAAAAAAAATACTAATGGAGAACAGGTCAATTGGTTGCAAATATGTTGGTTGAGGTTCCTCAAAAGTGCACCATATACCATTTTTTATAAAACAACGATGAAGGACGCAGAATTTAAAATTATAAATTTATTACCTATACGACCTGGAAGACTACTAAAATTTGAAAAAATCGCCCTGGTGCCTATGTACCAAAATACCAGGCCTATTACTTACGAAAAATATAAAGACATGAAGCAGTTATTACCTTATATACCTCCGGTGCATCATGCATATTTTGAAACACTACCACATGCAGAGAATAAGTAAATACTATCAGTATCTTTTCATTTTGACAATGTAATTGGCGTCTAAAATAAAATTTTATGTGTTGTTATACGTATTTGTAAAGAAAATTATATTAAAATGAAGTATATTTTAAGTGATATTTGATTTTTCAAAATTGAAATTAAACGATTTTTACAATTGTCTAATTTTGAAAGTGGTGTAAGTCCATTTACAGTCCATAAATATGTGTTATCGTAGTCTAATTCGCCTAAAACAAATCTATATAATCAAATTAAATATTGATAAAACAATAGAAACAATGCCAGATCTCATATAATTTGCCTATATTTTTAAATCAACAAACATATTAACCTTTAATTTTCTCGAAACAAAAGAAAATGGACTTACACCACTTTCAAAATAAACGGTCCATATACTACATACATAACAAACGAAAAACGCGAGAAGAATCAAGTACTTATAAAAGTTAAAAATTCAAATTGCTGCTGCAGAAAGTTCTTCGGAGTACTCTGGACAGTCGGATCAACGTATAACAGTCGGAATGATTGTTGATGAATTACTAAAGTTTCCATGAGTAAACAATCTATCCCCATGAGTCTGCAACCTCCGTACGTTTTGAAACAGGGAGCAGTGTCTAGACATTCCAGCTGAAGGGAGCTCAAACTTAACAGTGTTACAGAGAGTGGAACAACCCCTCTGGCGGTATGTGACTTTCCAAGGAGGAGACATTCAAGGGGAAAATGCCGTCGAACAGTTTAATTGTTTATATGTGACAAATAACGTAACAGCAGTTTCATTGCTTTATAGACACACTTTCGCTGCAGGACAAAAAAGATAGCGCACATTTTAAAACGGATTAAACGGATCTTTCAAATCGGACTAAATGATTTGAATTTTTTTGGATATCGGAAGGTCTAGTTTAGTAGGTAATGTGTAAGAAAGTATTTACGCGTTTGCACAACCGTGCACACTCTTTCGGCAAATCGATAGTCGTGAAACAATTTTTAAGTTACCGAGACCTATGAATTCGTTATATGCTACGATCAAAAAGTAGAAAAAAATGATTATTCTATTCTTTTGGTTATTGCAACAGATTGCAATTTTTGTAAAAACTTTCCTACGCATTGTCACGTAAACTAGTTCCTCTAACATGTCGGAAATATTTAAATCGTTTGATCCCCCCAATTTTAAAGAAGTTATGTATTCCGCTTTAACTTCTTGCCGTATTTTATCGAGTCTGATTCGTGATGAAGATTTTTAATATTCCATTCTTTCAGTTTTTCCGTTCTTCTAAGTCTGAACGCAATTCTGCTCTCTTGACGTCAATATTTAAGTATTCTAGTTAACCCTAGAAAGATAACCATATGACAACGTACGTAAAAGATAACCATACGCTTCAGAGGCGCATGCTTTTCTAAGGCGTCAATTTTATACTAACAATGGATATTTATTTAAGTTAATCTAGTCATTTTAAAGGTTTGGCATTATTGTAAAAATAAAATGCATTTATATTATATTTTTTTATATTTTAAGTAATTTTAAACTTAAATCACTAGACCTCTATGAAAAATTAACAAAAATCAACAGTCTTC